ATATATATATATACATACAGATACGTATTCACACCGCCTCCTGAAACAGGTCTTTATCGGGTGCGGGTTCAGGTTTTAGTCTTGAGGGTTTGGGGGTTTGCGCTTTCGTGTTCCGAGCGCAGCATGCCTTAGCACTCCGAAGCCTCGACAATCGCTTCTGGCTGGACCACCGGTGGCACCAGCAGTCCCCATGCTACGCCTGCGTTACGAAGTCCTAAACTAAACCCTAACCCTAGCACAAAAAGTCGTGTTTGCCCCAACATTGAAGCAATTCTCGCAACACTTTTATACCAGGAACGCTGCGGAGGTGGTTTACTCTTTTATAGTATGTTATACGACCCCCAAAACGAGCACAGCAAGAGCTGTCCAGCGTGGAAGCACTCCTGTTTCCTGTTCCGATTTAGCTTGGTGTCTCCCAATGAAGTCGAGGTTTCGGGAAGCCTTGTAGTTCTTAGAAGAATATACTATAGTTTTCTGTGATATACTGTACTATACTTCAACAAAATATAGTATAAGCCCGTGAGAAGGTGCTGGAAAAGGCGCTGTCCAGCGCATCTATCACTGTGTCGGTGCCTGAGATTCGCGGAAAAAAATCAGGGCTCTGTAAAGGGGCTTACATTATCTGAAAGACGTTTGGGGGTTGAACCTAACCATACGTATGATTTGTTTGCTGCGGTTTTTTGGATGTTGCTTTGGTCTGTTGGGGTTGTAGTCGGGGTCAATGTGTTCATGCTGCTTCTCTGTCTCCTGCTACTTGACTTCTGGTCTTGCTCTTTTGTTCCTGCAGTTTCTCGGCTTCCATTGGTACTATATAACAATATGACGAGAATATAATAATTTCACAGTTTGAATACATGACTTCATTACCACGTGCTTTCCGTTTTGTTGCTCTGGGATTGCCAGCACGCACGGCTTGTGAGGGTCACCGCTGCACTTTCTGAGTAGCGGCGGTTGAAGCAAGGAGGAGGACGACGACGACAATGAATGTGATGATCGCGACGGTTGTACATTAGCAGAGAGAGCTGTGACGACGATGAACGTTGATTGTGGTGGGTGGTGACGATGATGGTGATAGTGACGGCGTTGTTGTCGGCAACGCTAGCTTTCATTTTGCATTGGAGCCTCTTCTTGCTGTGCTTGCTGATCTTCTTCGATGATGCATCATTCTCTTGAAGACGTTCTTCGTTGTAATCGTGTTTTCTCTTTTTAATTATCCTTATCGTCGTCATCAGCATCGTCGTCGTCATCATCATAATCATCACCAGCATCACCATCACCCTCACCCTCACCCTGACCCTCACCATCACCCTCCTCCTCCTCCTGGTCCTCTCGTCATCATCATCATCATCATCATCATCATCGCCGTCGTCATCACCGTCACGATCATTATCACCATCCTGGCAAACATGGTTTGGTTTATATGGGGCTCTGATTGAATGTCCCCGACGGTCATGGTGGGTCATGAACTTTTTGAACACTATTGTGCATTGAATCCGCTGGATACTGGAGTCTGTCTTTAGGGCGATACATTTCGGGTTGTATAGTCGGGTTCGGAACTCCAAGTTGCGCAGTTCTTGTGCAGGACGCGGGACAGATTTCTGAAGTGGCTGTCCCACGACGATTTTACGGATACCTTGGAGAGTGCCTTCATCGACACCTCCATACGTCGCTGCCTCACTTCTCTTGTGGGAAGGTTACCAACTCAGACAATTCAGATGTTCAGATTTCCTGAACTCCAACCGACCGAAACCCGAAGCCCTACTAATCTTGAACTTCAAACACACCCGCAGCCATTAAACTCGTTTCAATCACTTTCATTTCCCTTCTATAGACTCCTATAAGCCCCCAAGGTGCGCAACTTTTCGACATCCTTGATGCAGACTCCGGTGGGCTCTTGAGCATTGACGAGCTCATCTCCGGATTGATGAGCATGCGTGGCGATGTCACCAAAGGCCGAGCTCCGAGAGGATGTGGAAGGGTGTTGTTGCCGTTCTTACTGTTTTGGTATTGTGCTTTTTTTCAAACATTTATTCGTGTTAGTATCATTATCACTATTGTGATTGGTATTGCTATTGGTATTCAAGAAATCTTTAAGGCAGTTCAGGGCTCTGGCGGTTCAGGGCTTCAGGTTTGCTTTGGGGGCTCAGGGAGAGCCTTTTCACGTGAAGCCTGGACCTTGAACCCTGAACTGTACTTAAAGGATCATGGGGACTTAGTAGGTAGGGTTTTTAATTAATTTAACTATACTTATAACCCCAACTACGGGACTTATAACCTTACTTACTAAGTCCCATGATCCTCGAAGTACCGTTTGGGTTTGGGGTTCCTCCCATCCGACGCCAGGTGACATCGTAGCAATCAGCATAAAGGTGCGATACTTCATTCAGCTCATCGAGGATCTGAATGCGCACCAGCCGAAGAGAAGTTCACTGAAACAGACCTGAAAAGGGGTGCTGTGTTTTATGTTTAGCTCCGCCTTGATGACGTGGAGACGCTGTAGAGGCACTGAACCTACTGTTGCCTTCCCTGCTGCGGGTATCAAAGATTCCGCCGCCGTTTTGCAAGACAGCTGGACTGTCTCTCTCGAAGGGTTAGACCATGTTCAACCAGCTCTTGAGACCTTTTCGAGTCAATCTTTTGGAGGAGCCTTCTGTGAAGCGGAAGAAGCGTCTCCCCTTCTCTCGCACCAGGCAGTCAGCGGGAACCCAAAGTTTATAGCCCAAAGCAAGAACCAGTCTCGTCGGAGTTTGCGTGGTGCCAGAATGTGTCAGCCAGTTGTCTCAATATCTAAGTAAATGCCACCTCGCTTAAGTGGGGATGCGGCATTTTTGTTCAGACAGCATGCTGGCAAAATGTCCAGCTCTCTGACGTCCCCCCCGCAGTGACGACCCATCCCTGGATGCGGAAAATCTTTCCGGAGAAGCCGCTGATCAGAAAGGTCTGAAGGAGATCATTCCTAGATTCCCTTCTTTTTTTTTGCGGATCCAAACTCTAAGCTGAAGACCTTGATGATCCGATCTGTGTGCTCTTGCCCACGACCAGAGCAGCCATGACTGCCATGAGTTGTGAGGGTTTAAGGTTCAAGAGGTTCCTGCCAGGGTTCTACTTTAGGGGTCTATAGAGGTTAGGGTCATTGCGAGTACCTGTCTGCAAGTTGTGTCTGCATCAGACCAGAGACCAGGCCAGGCCAGACCAGACAGAGACAGAGACAGAGACGGAGACGGAGACAGAGACAGAGACGGAGACGGAGACAGAGACAGAGACAGAGCAGAGCAGAGCAGAGCAGAGCAGACCAGACCAGACCAGACCAGACCAGACCAGACCAGACCAGACCAGACAGGGGGAGACAGACATGCCCGTACACAGAGATCGACCACCACACAGGAAGGCAGCGAGATAGAGGGTAGATATGAGGATGTACAGGCTGGCAGAGTGTTGGGCAGACTCACAGTCAGATCCCTCGAACAGCTCAGTTCGTTCCGTCAATCCGAGGTCGTGCACTTCGCGCCCGAGGGGCTTCGAGGGCCTCCTTGTACTTGGAGAAAGAAGCCTAAACATGGGAAAGAGGGTGGAAGAGCCAGGCTGGGCTTAGTGACTTAGTGCATCTTAGTGCTGTTTCCGGAGTCTTCGCATGGCCTCAGGAGCCTCTTGCCCACAGCATAGCGACAGGATGAGAGCAAGAGACCCTCGTCCAAAAAGGCAGAGCGAGAAAATAACTCGACCATTCTCCTGTTCTCTGAACGAGAGAAAGGACAGAGAGGGATGTACGAAGAGAGTGCAGTGTAGCGCTTAGTTGTAGACCCAGGGGTTGGATGCTTGGAGGTACTCGGAGGTTCATGGGTAGTTATAAGTGGAGGTATAAGTCCCCTAATATGGGTTATAAGTATAGTTACCCTACTTATAACCCGGCTTATAACTATCCGTGAACCTCCAAGTACATGGTCATGGCTCAACTCGCCTTCGAATGTCTTCCTCTCAAGCAGTATACCAGGAGACCGAGGGCGGGCAAACCCCTGTAGCCACCCCGCCAGCCAGACGTACCTCAACTACAAGCCCTAAGCTAAGCCCCAAATAGGAATCATACACTTCAATAGACATCTGCCAACAAGCCAAACCCAAGGCCCCAAACCCATTAACACAAACGGAAGCCATGACACGCATGACAGTGCTTGGATGGGTGCTGCTCGGGGCATGCGTGCCTGGCCCTCGCCCGAGTACGTGCGATCGCAAAGCTGAATTCAGGACTTAGGCGGGTTTGGGGTTTAGGGTTTAGGGCCCTCAACATCCTAAAGCCCTATGTGTTCCTAGACCCCAAACCTAAACATCCTGACAAACGTCTAAGCCCAAGAGACTAAAACCCCCGAAGCCGTGAAGCCCACTGCCAAGAGCCCGAGCCCAAAGGCCTTAAAGCCCCACAATCCCAAAGAAAGCCCCAAACCCCAGCCTTAGCCCTACCTAAAACTGAACCCCAACCACCAATTGGTTTTAGGCCTGGCGGCTTCGAGTCCTTCTGTGGGGACCTCGTCATTCACGCGCGGTCTCTGCGGCCAGCGGCACCCATGAGCAGACACACCATCATACGCCTACTTAAAGGATCATGGGACTTAGTAAGTAGGGTTATAACTAGGGTAACTATACTTAAAACTCCCATCAAAGGACTTATAACCTTACTTACTAAGTCCCAGGATCCTCCAAGTACATGCAGATACATGCATGCATGCATGCATGCATACTTGCATAGGTGCATGCATACATACATACTTACACTTGGGTTGGTATCCCTTTGAGACTGCCTTGGATGAATACCTAAACCCCAAACCTTAAATCCTAAAAAAGCCTAAAGCCCAGACCCTGAACCTTAAATTCTAAACCCCAAAACCTCTAAACCCTAAACCCTAAACCACTAAACCACTAAACCCTAAAATCCCTAAAACCCCTAAGGTTTATTGTCTTTTGTGCATCTTCTCCCGCTACCAGCGAGGCGGATCCTTCCGAGGGTCGGCGGCTCGGCCCAGACTTGAAGCCATGGCTCAACCGGAGTTCCAGAAGGATTTCTATAGGGGTTTCTATAAGGGTTTCTGTAAGGGTTTCCATAAGGGTTTCTATAAGGGTTCCTATAAGGGTTTCTAGAAGGGTGTCTATAAGCATTTCTATAAGGTTTTCTATAAGGTGTCGACGAGGCTTGTATGTTATTCATTGGTTCTGTAAAGGTTTCTATAGCGGTTGAGGAAGTGTTCCAGAATTTTCTAAATACAGGGGCTGCTCTAAGGCTTCTGTACGGGTTCGTTCAGTCGCTATAGGCAGATGTACTTGGAGGATCATGGGACTTAGTAAATCCGGTTATAAGTGCCTTAATAGGGGATATAAGTGTAGTCATCTTAATTATAACCGTACTTACTAAGTCCCATGATCCTTTAACTACAGGCAGATAGTAGTCAGTTGCGTCGTCTTAGGAATCTAAGCCTTTCGGTACGGGACGCTTCTTGCGCAGAGGCCAAGCCACCTGTGAGACAGACGACAAGTGGATGGAGGCAGCCCCCACTCTTGACTGCACATGTCCAGCCTATTGCGACCGTTGACCCTGTGTCTCGAAGCCACAGCTGGATTTACATATTATATTATGTTTTGATGACTTTACGATATGTTGTTTTGGTATATAGTATTATACTATTACATGATATTATCTATTTCATTACAATACCAAGCCTGCGCGCTCAGAAAATTGAAGCCTCGGGTAGGCGAAGCGGAAGCTGTATCGGCTTCTCCCGCAGATCTCCGATAACAGGAGGCTGGCGGCTAGCCAAGCTGCTGCCTTTTTTCCTGCTTTCAACATGTTAACTTTCCCCTGGTAGCAGCTGTGCTGCTGTTGCCGGCGAAAAGGAGGAAAGCTGAGTTCCTGCAGAAGCGTGTTTCTTGTGATTTTCCTGTCTTTGTTGCTATTCGTACATTGCTATCGTTTATTTATATTAGTCGTCGTCCACAGCCACCACCTCCGCCAGCTCGACCACTAGGGCCACTGCGGTCACAACATCAGTAGCTCCTGGTTGATAAGATATATGCACATCTATGACTATGTGTATCTGCTTAGTTCCAATATAGATTGAATTCCTTTAGCGAGATGGTCATATATTCCGGCGTAGTTGTATTCAAAGAGTCCTCCCGCATAATGTTGGCACACTCTTTTGGTACTGTCAGTCAGCACCGTCTTTGCACGCAGAGCTCTCCTTCGACACTGTGCTACTCTGCGGTCCTCCAACGGTATCATGTAGAGCCGCAAAAGTGTCAGATGTGGTTTACCTTTGTACTGAATCCATCAGTCGTGCATCAGTATATTTCTACAAAACGGGAACTACTCAAACCCTAAACCCTAAACCCTAAACCCTAAACCCTACTCGTATTTAGGAGCATCGCTCATCCGTTTGAATACGACTGAAGGGCTTGGGGAGTTCGAGAAAAATCCTGCAGCGCCTAAATCCTCGAAAGCCAGCCCCCAACCTAAACGGTTTAGGGTTTAGGGTTTAGGGTTTAGGGTTTAGGGTCTCAACGCTAAACGCCTCAACCCTCAACGCCTGCAAACCCAAACCCTGGCCGCACTAAACACTTTTGAACCGGGTGTGCCTGAAAGTGCAGGTGGGATGCACCTCGTGTGGTCGGCACCTTGTCCGCCGGCCTAGCGATGGAGGACTTCTTGATTAGTTGATGAGTCTCGTTCTTTTCATCAGTACTCTTGCCAGTGTTTTTGTTGTGATTACTGTCCTCATGTTGCGACAGGGTGTTTCGGTCATGCATGCTCTTTTTGTGTCTGTTGTTGCTACTGCGGGGTTTGGACCTACCCCCCCCAACATGCATGCCAAACCCTTGGAGCCCCTCCATCCTCCAATGGCTCCATGCGAAGCCCTCGGTTTCTTCGAGCACCAGGGCCTTAACAAGGAGTTTGGGGGTTTCGGGGTTTCGGGTTTAGAGGTTAGGGGTTTAGAGGTCTAAAGGTTTCGGATGAAAGCTTTAGGGGCTAACTTACTCGGGCGTTTAGAGGTCTAGGGAGACAAGCTCGACATCCAAACCCTACGCCACACATAACAAGTCGGGTTTTCCGGGAATGTGCTGTTCCAGGATTTCCAACGCTGTCCACTGGGCCACCTCGCGCTACAGCAACTTCGGCATGTTTCTGCGGGCTCTCGGATTTCGTGCCCTTTCATGCTGTATCGGGGTCCGAAAATGAGACGAACCTCAACCATGTAGCAGTCCATCTAAACACCTGCCCACCTGCCTACCTAGCCTACCGACCTCCTTGCCTGCCGGCCTACCTGCCACACCGACCTACCTATGATGATTAAGGGACATCTCTCGGTCGTCTGCACATGTCCGTACTGACCTACCTACCCACCTACCTAACCTACCTGCTGGCCAGCTGGCTGCCTGGCTGCCTGCCTGCTTATCATGTGGT